ACAATGGGATTTGAATTAAAAAATAAAAGCTTTGAGTTTGTTTTTGAAAGTGAATTGCTGTTACAGAAACGAGGCCCATGAGAGAAAATGGAACAGACTTAAATTCTTAAAAAATTGCTTCACAGTTTCTTTCACTTTGAAGAACTTTTTTTTTTACCTCATTTAAGATTGCTTAAATAACCTCATTTTTACTCCAATGGTGAAATCCACTATACGTGTTAACTGTCAGCAATCAGTTGTGTAAAATATGCATATTTTAATTTTGAAAATTTAATACTCTGTTAGAATTAGTTCTGTATATATGTATATAATCATATTTTTAAAAGGAATAGTGTTTTATACTCACCTATTCTCTGTGAAACAAACAAATGACTGAAAAAGACAGCTGTTTTTTGAAGTATTGGCAGCAATTCCAAAGTGAAACTTTTTAATCTTGTAAACTGCCTGCGTGAGTGTCAGCTAACTGGTTTCTCCTGGGGCTCCCACGAGTCTCTTGACTTTTGTAGTTAATTTTTTTCCCCTTGAAAATACATCCTCATTAAGTGGTATTTCCTGCTAACTACCTGGCTTCAAATTCTATTCCTTTTCCTTTACAGTCATCAGCTACATGTCATTAACTTTATACTTGGAGAACCCACCGGTTTGCCATGAAAACAACATCCTGCAGCACTGCTGTTGACTAGTGAGGTTTCATGTGGCTCCTCCTAGTCCGATTGAAATTGGTTAGCAGTTTCTTACCTTCTTAGAGATACATTTAGTTCCTCACCCCATTATTGCTAGTGAATTAATGAAAAAAATTCTCAGGTTACAAGGAAAGAAGAATGCCATCTGGAGGCATGTGTGCCAGTAAGTGTAGATGGATAACAAACAGACTTAAAGAAGGAAAGAATCATCATAAAAGCCATTCACTGTGACATAGACACCTTTGTCCTCCTGTTCTTTAAGGGTCATGCTGGCTCCTGTAATTTTGAATAAGTTTCTTAGACCAGTTTTTAGAAAAGAAAAGATTCAATATAAATAGAAGCATTTTCTCTGTTATTTTTTTATGATAATGGAGAGATCTCTCTACCCTTTTAACATTTGGAATTTTGTCTTTAAATGAGATTAGGTAGCAGAGGTAAAATTCCAGAATCATATTTAAATGTTTCAATAGAGGCTATTGTGATAATTAAGCAATTTCAAATGACAGCATCCAAAGAATATGTGTATTTGGCTTTGAAAAACAAAATTAAATAAAAAAAAATTTTAAAAATAGTAACTTTTATCCTCAAATGCTTAATAGAATAATAATAAGTGAAACTTTTTCCTAATAATATTCATCAATGATGAACCTTTTACAGAAGAAAAATAAGCCAAAAATATCTATGAGAACATTGAACCAGAAAATGTCATCCTTTGTGTATTTTGCTGATTTGAATGGTTATCAATTGTGAAAATAGTAACATTATTATTTTTTAGTACTGCAGCTGTTTTAATGACTTACTGGCCAAGGATTCAGCAGACTTGATTTCTTCTTCCATTTATTTATTAAAAATTTATGAATACTTCCTCTGTACCAGCCATTGTTGTAGATTCCGGGGAGTTAGAGCTTAAAATGTGTTTATGACTTGTGTGATAGACCTATGCATTAAAATATAGATTATAATAGATGGTATAACTGGTGGAATAAATAGAGCATTAAGAGATCACAGAGGGAGGGCCAGCTAAGGTATCCCAGTGAGTCATGCATTTATTTGCAATTATGGCTGCTTTGTGTAAAGATGAACTTCTCAAATGTTTACTTGTTGAAATGTTATTGGTAATGAGTTTAGCAAGGTCAGTAAACATTAGGTCAAATATCCAATTCATTTTTATTTCTATAAGTAACCAACAAATAGAAAATTAACTTTGAAAAAGGTGCCATAGTACCAGAAAGCATCACTTACCTAAGAATAAATCTAACAAAAGATGTGTAAGGCCTCTGTTTTGGAAACTAAAAAATATTATTGTGAGAAACCAAAGAAGACCTATGTAAATTGAGGGATGGATCATGTGTATGGATTCGAAGACTCAATGTTTTAAAAATGTCACTCCCCACATGAATCTATAGAATCAACACAATTCTAAAAATCAGAATGTTAGCAGTGCTTTTGGGGAGAAAGGGAGGGCAACTGACAAGCTGATTCTAAAATGTATATGAAAATGTAAAGGGCTAAGAATAGCTATGACAATCTGGGAGAAGAACAGGCCTGGAGAACTTACACTAGCAGATACTGAGACTAATACTAAGCTATAGTAATTAATGCAGTGTAGGTCCAGCATAGGGTGACCAGTGTTACAGAGAAAAGAGACCAAATACAGACTCAAACATATTTGATCCATCTGATTCCTGTCAAAGGAAGTATTGCAGTGCATCAGGGAAAGTATGACCATTCTAATAAATGCTGCCATGTCAATTGGATAGCCATATGGGAAAAAAAGAACCTTGCACCTTATCTTACCCTATTAACAAAATAAATTCTAGGATTGAAAGGTAAAACAATAAAACTTGCACAAGAAAATGTAGGAGCAATTTTGATAGTTTGAACTACTAGGCAAAGATATTCTAAATAGGCAACAAGGCATTAAAAAACAAAATATTGTTAAATTTAACTTCATTAAAATATAAAAAGAAAAAACCTTCTGTTTACCAAAAGGCAACCTCAGAGTGGGAGAAGATATCTGCAATTCAGATGTTGAACAAGAAATTCACATCCAGAATAGTTAAAGAACAGCTATAAATCAATAAGAAAAGGACAGACATCAGGCATATTTTCTGTCATATCAATTTATGATGGTCTCTCACAAAAGAACTATAGATATAATCAATTAATGTGTTACTTGATTTTCCTTGTTAAGGATATTAGTTCTTAGTGAGTCTTTAGCTAAGCACAGAAACAATTATCTGCCTGCCTCTATCTATCTATCTATCTATCTATCTATCTATCTAAAACATTTGAAGGACAATATTTTATTTTTTATCTAAACATGTATTAAATGCAACAAAGTATATTTTGAATTGTGTATTTCTATACAGTTGTCTGCTTGTATAATATGAATTGTACATGTCAAATTACTCAGAATATAATAACACAAGAGTACTTTACTAGAAAAAGAGCAATAACTGACTATGACCATATTTGACAGAGATTGCCAGATGTTGGTCAAATGTTCATTTCTACTTTCTTACTAACAGAGCCCTGATTTTATTTAGGGCAACATTAGACCCAGTGTTAAAGCTGCATTTTCTTACCTTGCAGATGGAGCTTGCCTTTTAATGTAGTTGCAGTGAATGGGATCCAAACAGCATAATTAATTTACTATTGACAAGAACTTGCAGGAAAGCTCCTTAAAAGGGTATTCGAGTCAGCTAATATGGACCCTTGGCCCTTATCCCTTTGCCCTTCACCCTTTGCCCTTCCCTTCCCAGATGTTTAGAGCTGCAGAAGCCATTTTGCAACCATTATGGGAAGGTTAAATTGCAGACCTTAACCCTGACATCTTTGAACTGCCAATATAGCAGCCTATTTCTGAACTTTTTGTTACATGAGGAAAACATAAAGGGCCTATGTTGTTTAAGCTGGGGATACTTGGATTTTTTCTTACATGTAGTCAAAGTAATGCCTGAGGCACCATATAAGGAAAATTCAGCACCCCCTTTTTTTTCCTACCTCTCTTTCATATTGCTTTAAACACTAACTATTCACAAAAATGTACACAGGTCCTTTCTGCTCCTAATTTGACCACCAAGTGTTACTCTTAGGGTTTTTTGGAAGCCAGCGCCACACAATAAAGGAGCATTAAAAAAAACAAAAAACCACTTGAAGTTGAACGGAATATGGAATGATGAAGCAGAATCTTTTGTCTCTATGGCAACTGGGAACTCTGTGTTTCTACAAAAACTATTTTACAAGACATTTTTATTTTCTATTTTTTTGTTAAATTGTGGAAGGAGAATGGAGTGGAGTCTTGCATTTTCTGTTAGTATAATCTAAAATAACGTATTTCATTATCTTACAATACCAGTTATTATTTACTTTGAATTTTTCTTAAGGTTTTGGTATAAAACGTCTTTTCATGTGTTTTAAAATGTGTTCTCTTTTGATTATCAAAGATAATTCTATATTTTGATACAAGATATTCTATTTTATAAACTTTGAGTATAAAGCTCTTAATTTTTATTTTAAATGTTCTAATATTTGAAATATTTATATATTTATTATTTATTTTTCATAGTCTGTGCTGAAGTAAAATAAGAACCAAAAATCAATTTCACATGAAGATCTCGCTTAAAAGTACTAAATAAAGCAAGTCTATCCTCCTTGGTTTATGTTCTCTCTTTTTTTTTTTCCCCCCTTTTGCTTTTGCCTGCCCTTCCACTCATCCTTAAGAATTGATTACATATTTATTCTGCATATCAAGGCAATTCGTTAATAATTCAGAAACAAAAGAAAGAATTATGTCATAGTTCCTTTTATTTGGGAGCTCATGATCTAGATGAATGAACAAAACTCAAATATTTAAAGCCCTTCCATACTATAGAGAAAAGCACAATGTGCTAGAAAAAAAAAAAGACGTTAAGTCCTAGAGCATAGAGGGGAGGGCGGCCTTGATGCCATTTGGTGGGTTTAAAGAACTCCTCAGCAAGGAAGGAGACGCGAGTCCACCTTGAAGATTGACTGGATGGGGAAAAACATGAAGGGGCTTTCCTGAGAGTGTGACGAGCAAAAAGCTACAGAATCAAGAATGGCCATGGCTTGTCTGGGAAAGGCCAACGATATTGGAGTATAGGGAGTGTCGATTGCTGGGGACCAATTACGGAGCCTCCTGCTTGGGGTTTCACGTGAAGGGCATTGAAGGAGAGAGAGCCTGGAGGCCCACGTCTTGAGTTAGAGACAAAAGAAAACAAAGTGGGCTGGACTGCGCCTCATTTAATATAATTTTTGTCTAAAAATTTAATATTCGATTTTTTAATTTTACAGATGGAAAAAGTGGAAGCAGATCTAACAAGATCCAAGTCTCTTCGTGAGAAACAATCAAAGGAGTATTTATGGCAGCTGGAGGATGTCAAACAGCGATACGAACAGCAGGTTGGTCTTTCATGGTGGTGATGCCATCTCATGTTTTAATGCATGTATAATCTTTTAGATATCTCTATATCACAAAATCTCTGCAAAATGAAAATAGCACTGAGAACATTATTACCAATATATGTGAAATATTTAAAATAATAGTTGTTTCAGTAAAACCCAGAAACAGAGTTTTAATTCTCCACTGACGTGTACTCTGACAGTTTGTTAATTGGAATGTGTAATTGAAACATTCATTTATTGTGATTCTTGAGTTCCATTCCTGTCAAAGTACCAGTTTGTTTGTTTGATTAATCGTTTAATTATTAATTTGGGGGTACCTGCTGTGTACCAGATACTATTACCGGCACTGGCACAGCAGTGAGCGCAACCAGCAAGGCTCCTTTTCTCAGGGAGTTCCATGGTTTTTTGTTTGTTTGTTTGTTTGTTTGTTTTTAGCTGAGCCATCCTGCTACCTGTTGGCAGCTCAGCGGCTGCTCAGCTCGGGCTGGACTCGAACCACTGTTGCTCAGAGCTCACACTCTTGAGCGAGCTCTTAACCAACTGAGCCACTCGGCCAGCCCCTCAGGGAGTTCCATGTTGATGGGCACCCAGCCCTTAAATAAAAAAATGAAATGATTTCAAAGAGTGATTTGTGAAGACGAAAAGAGGGTGTGTACATAGATCTTGCCAGGTGGAGGGTGGGAAGGGGATTACCGCACTGCTAGGCGGTCAGGGAAGCCCTCCAAGCTGGGACCTTTGTGCTGAGAACCCTGGAAACCAGGGAGGAGCCAGCCGTGAGGTCTCTGGAGAAGTAGCATTCCAGACTGGGGGGGAGAGCAAATTTGGAGACGCTGAGATGAGCTCAAGCTGGGAGTGTTTGAGAACAAAAACGACAATAAAGGTCTGTTGAGCAGGAACGTAGAGAAGGTTCCAGCTGTAGGAGACGAGGAGGGAGAGCTAGGTTGGACTAGGGCAGCATAGGAGTTTGGCTTTTGTTCTCAGTGCCCTGCCACTGTTTATTACTAAAAAGGTTTTATTTTTGTCTTTTAAAAATATCTTCCTGCTGATTCTTAGACTCTTTAAGGTGGCTACTAATTTTCACCTGTATGTCTAATCTGCTTGCCCTTAACATCTGGAAAAATGTTAATTAGCTTAGTCACTCAGTTAAGAAAATTTTTTCTAAAGACAGTATTTGAACCTTTTCATTCTGGAAACCTGAATAATTTTTTTTCATAATTATATTTTTCATCGCTTATAAAGTGGATCCTACATCAAAAACTAATTAACCCATTGTGATTACTGAATCTGATGCTGTCTTTCTAAGTGATAGCAATGAGAGGCTCACTTGAGCTCCATGAAAAGAAGTGTGATCCAACGTGTGACCTTAGGGTTGTTGTGTTGCTATTGTTTTAATCTTAAAATGTTGGCATAAATACCTGAGTTATTATACAAGGATAGTGTAAAGGCAAAGTAGTTATAAAGACCAAAGTTTTCAAATTGACCCTTCTTTATTATTTTCATTATCTGGGTTGTCCTTCAAGAGAGAAACACGTAGGAAAGGAGTTGAGTAAACGACCATGTAGAAACATCTCCAGCCTTGGTGTTGACAAGGGCCAGACACCATTGTTACGTGTTTTATATGACTTCAGCCACTTCCCATCTTGCACTAATCTTGTGAAACCGGTACCATCATTTATTACCCCCAGATTCTAGTTGTAGAAACTGAAGCACTGGCCCAAAGCCCCACACAGTCAGTAGGTGATACAATCAGAGCTTTAACCTGAGCCATGAACTAAACCTCCACTCTGAAAGGACTCCCCTTGGAGTTCCAAGGCACAGACACTGAACCCGGGAGCAGATGGTACTGTGAGGAATATTTTGAGTGGTTTCAAAGTAGTTCCTCCCTAAAGAAGTATTGAGGTGTGCAGTGGTCTTTTTCGTGAGAAAGTGTTTCCCTACTTGAGTGTGTCCAGGAGGCTGTCCTCCCACTACAGTCCCTTCCAAATCCCGTGTCCTGTGACTTTCCCTTCCTTTGCCTGATTGGCCCCACAGCCCCTCTGTGGGTCTCCTGATAGATGTAGACATCTCTGGTTCCACCACCGACTCATTCACTTACCTACCTGTCTAGCTGGATTTCCTCACTTCCGGGCCCACGCCTACCTTCTCAGTTGCCATTCAAGTGCAAGCGTGACAACTTTTCTATTATCTTCTCTTACTTTTCTCTAAAATGTAACGTCTTAAATGTGAAAATCCTAAAGGGTTAGAGCATTTCACACTGGAAGGATATTTAGGTGCTAATCACCCAGGCTTCTCAAACTGGGGTGGGTGACCCCGGGGAGGTGAGCAAGGGCCAGGTGTATGCGAAGCTGCGTGCATGTTTTGTGGAGTGTGGGATTCACATGCTTATTTGTGGGAAAGCAAAGTAGTTTTACTCTTGAGGTAACACTCATTTTAAAACAAACATAGACTTCCCTGTTGTGTAAAATGCAAAATTCTCATGAATTTTTAAGATAAAATAGGAGATTTCAAAGAAACTTCCAGCTTGCAGAGGCTGCTTCAGGCTATGCCCTCAGATCCCCCGGGGGGTACTATTCATTTTCACTGCTTCTGGGGGTTCTTTGGTGGGAAAGTTTTAGAGGCACTTATCTGGTCTAATCCTCACATTTTATAATGAGGAAATTGACATCCAGAGGAAATGAATGACTTGTGCCTTCTGGGCCTCAGTTTCCTTATTCAGTTTTAATTTTTGAACCCCTCCCATATAGAAAGCATCATGCCAGGAACTGTAATGAAGTGAAAAAAGCAAAGTGGCATTTGAAAGTACTTTAGCCCAAATGCAGGCATAAAGCGTACAGATATGGAGAGAAAAACATCAAACACATGGGATAAACACTCACAGAAATATCCTGTAAAGCCCAAGCTTTCATCAAGACTTCCTGTTTCTTTCCTGTATAACCCATTGGAACAAAAAGACAATTCTAATTGTCTTTTCACAAACCTCATTCAACTTGGAAACAAACAACAAACCAGGCATGCTAGGATTTCCTGAACATGGAGATTTTTTTGGCAATTCCATCATATCATTCTTTAATCTGATATTTTATATTTTTTTCTTTTCACTACAAAGCCTTTAAAGGGAAATGTAGTTCAACAGATAAACAAGTGTCAAATTCTTCAGAATGAATAAATACTTTGTTGTTGATTATAAAAAACACTGAAGGGGCAACCCCTTACACATTACTGTTATTTTAAACTTAAGATATTTTGGTAGCAAAGATGGTAGTCAAGATAAGACAGGAATTATACAAAATAAGCAAGTGGGAAATTTTAAGATCACTTGAGATAGTTTTAAAAAAAACAACAGCATGCCATGCCCAATTTTTCCTCTGTAAATATTTTAGTTTTTAGTTATCTAGATTTTTTTTTTTTTTTAGGTAAAATAGCCTAAAAACATAGGCCTCTTTTAAATTAAACTATTTAGTCTACACTGGAAAAGGATATAGTAGAAAGCAAGAGCCAGAGGAAACAGAAGGAAGATATTCACTAGTACAGGCCCCCAGGAAGGTGGAGGTGTGTGGGCAGACCCCTAGCACAGGTGGAGGCGAGAGGCAGGCCTGTGCTGTGCCTGGTGAGAAGAGGAGGGGCAGACAGATGCACAGAAGTTTGTGGATCTGTAGCAGTAAAATGAGGACATTTGTATTATGGGAGGGTTTTCTTTGTGAGATAGGAGGCAAGATCATTGCTGAGACGGGAGGAATTACATGGACAGGAGAGCTGATGGAAGTGGGAAGTTTTGCAGTCCTTTTGGTGTTGGCATCATGGATCTGACTAGAAAACTTGGTGAAATTTCTTTTGGGTATTGAGGTCTAAGATGAGGTTAATGGCCATGAATCTGTGGATCTCCCTAAAGGGGGAAGGGGCATTTTCATGTGGTTTATTGATTTCTACATCTAGTACGCTCGTGTTCTTCTCTTTGTCTTCTTGTTGTTCTCCTTATTATACTCTTTTTTAAGTCTTTTGGCTTGGCTTTCCTTTTCTAGTTTGTAATAAATAATTTGGGGGCCTCGACTACATATTAGTCTTGCTGCTCCTTCATGGTAATCAAGAGAAATGGCAATTTCTGATCTAATGATGCTACAAGCCTTTCAAATTCTTTCTTTTTATAACGATCTAATCCATGAATGCAGCCATGCTAGAAGGCACAGCTAGGTCCTACAGGAGACAGGTACAGTGACAGATTCCTGGCCCATTAGGCTACCAGAACCAGAGACCCAGGCTATGAAGCTGTAGATCCTGAGGTCCAGGCCAAGTGTTGGGACCTGGGTTCATAGAAGGGCATTGATAATTAGTGAAAGGTTAATGGGATGGGCATTGATAATTATGAAAGGCTTTTTGTTTTTATTTTGACTTGGAACTTTTCTCATTGGTGTTAAAACAAATGGCACCTTTATCTAGAGTGGGAATTAAGGGAGCCAAGATGAACACAGTTCTTTTCAATAACTATAGTTTAAGTGTATATTATATGTTTCGTTTTAGGGATACTTCATTTTGAGAATGTTTCCTGGATAGTGATAGGGCTAAATGCTGTTCCAGATGCTTAGGATGTGACAATGAATAAAATAGTCTCTACACTTATGGCAGAGGGGACAACACCGCCACACACACATGCTCACTCTCAAAATATAATCTAAGGTAACGACAATTGCTATGAAATAAAGCAAGATAAGGTGTTTGTGAGTGAAGCAGCTATTTTATATAAGGTTGCTATCATACGAGTAAAAGGTATTATTTTTGATAAGGTTGTCAGTGAAGGACTCTAAAGATTAAAACCTGAATCAAGTGAAGGGGGAAATCATACAAAAACCTGAGGTGAGAAAGAATATCTCAGGTGGAGGGAGTGGGTGGGGACGAGGCTGGAATGGAGTGAACCAGGGATAGAGTGGGAGAAGCGGGCAGATGGTATCAGCTTCTATAGACTGTGGAGGGGAGTTTCCATTTTATTCTGAGTGTGATGGGCA